TATTTGTAACGTGGTGGTGGTGATACTCTGATAATGAATGAATTACGTTTGCTTTATGGCTATTTTCTTTTTTTTTTCTTCCTTAGTCACCTACTACTGTTAGCTGCTGGTAATTATAAATAAGAAATTGTCTCATATTTTTAGGATTTCTTAGTATTAGATCATTGTTTCTAGATGGAAGTTGAGTGTTCGGAACTTACGTGACTTACTCAAGATTACAAAAGAGTCAGCCAAAAGGAATAAGAAACTTCCTGGTTTTAAGTGTTAGACACTGGCAACCCAATCTGCCTTTTTACCAACGCTCCCCCTTCAAACCCATGGGCTTTTCATGCAGGGCAAATGGGCTTGTTCTTGGGTCTGACCACTACTGCTGCTCTCTGAAATGACATCAACTTGAATTAGGGTTTATTTCATATGGTTGGCATATAAACCTCAGGGTTTTACTATGAGATGTCAAATCTAAAAGTGAAGGTTCCTTGTCAGTTGCTAATTTCTTTGGACAGACTGCCGGAAGAGTCCATTGTTCCTGGAGAACAAAGGTTTTGAACTTCAGGCAGTCTTGAGTCAAGCTGTAAGTAGGCATAAGGAATGAGACAGCATGACCTGTTGCCCTTTTATTTTGAACCGTAGTTTGCTCCCACTGGGTATCTACCTGTTATGATGTAATGTTTCAGGAAGGGCACTGTTAGCTCTGACTCACACAGGTATCACTGTTTTCTGGGTATGAGTAATTTCTATAATTCATTTATCATGAAATGAGAGTTTATTCATAGTGCTTTAGAGCTTAGAAATGAGTTCTGCATATGTACTGATCATTCTTCTATTTTTTAATTTTATTTTATTATGTTATCTTAATCACCATACATTACATCATTAGTTTTTGATGTAGTGTTCCATGATTCGTTGTTTTCGTATAACACCCAGTGCTCCATGCAGTACGTGCCCTCCTTAATACCCATCACCAGGCTAACCCATCCCCCCACCCCCCTCCCCTCTAGAACCCTCAGTTTGTTTCTCAGAGTCCATATCATTCTTAATCATCCAGTTTCTTTTCCTCTGTCTGTTCCCAATTCTATATTATTGTGTCATTTCCTGCAGAGCAGTTGTCTTTATCACAATTTTTCTCATGAGCTTTGATTACATACAATTTGCTTCATTGACTTATACTTTGATATCTTTCGTGGGGCAAGCCAGAGATGACACCAACTGAGCTGGAAGGGCAGGCCTTTTGGTTGGTTTCTCTTGGTACAACAGACATCGATAGACAGTTTCACTTTCCTTAAGTATTACATTTTACTTCACCTTTCACAGAACCCTGCAGGGTCCCCGTGGAATGAGAATATTGCTGGTGAAATAAAATTTAAACTTTTAAGAATGTTTCTAAAATTCGTCTGATTGTGGGTGCCTGGGTGGCTCAGTTGGTTAGACTGCCTTCAGCTCAGGTCATGATCCTGGAGTCTCAGGATCGATTCCTGCATCGGGCTCCTGGTTCAGCGGGGAGTCTGCTTCTCCCTCTGACCCTCCCCCCACTCATGCTCTCTCGCTCTCTCTCTCTCAAATAAATGAATAAATCTTTAAAATAAAATAAAATAAAATTCGTCTGATCGCTTCCTACCTTCTTTAGGTAGTATCCCTCACTGCACACCAGAATACATGTTCCCTCTGACTCTTGTGTCCAGGTCATATGGTATTTCTCAGAGCTGTTGCACCATCCACTAGTCATCCTTAGAATGTACTTAACCTCCTCCCTAACTTACGCTCCTTTAAAAATGCTATAAAATGTCCTTCTGTAGATTTCTTATTTGCCCACAATACTTACTGAACTTACTGTCTTCAGCAAGTAGAGAACAGAAATAAGAGGAGGGTAAGTGTGGTAAGCGTGGCCCCACTCTCCACTTTCCATCCGTGATCAGAAAAAACACCAGTATCCCCCCAACCATATATGCCAACTTCCTGCTTCTGCAATGTCATATTTTGCCTTCTTTCCTATTATAAGAGATTCTTTGTCCATACTCTTATTTAGAGTCAAGCCCTCCACCCATGCACTGGATCCCATCCTGTCTGACAGCTTCGCTTCATTCAGGGTCTCTGCCATGTTGTCATTAGAAAGACTTTCTCTAACGATCTAAAATAGCAGCTCCTCTGCATCATTACCTTCTATCCCCGTGGCCTGTTCTACTTTTCTTCAAGGCATTTATAATGACCTGAAATGATATTATACATTTATCTGTCTCCTTCCACTTAGAACAGAGGTTGGCAAACTATGGCTTGAGGGCCAAATCAGCCTGCCATCTTTTTTAATAAATAAAATTTTATTGGGGGGTGTCTGGGTGGCTCAGTCATTAAGCGTCTGCCTTCAGCCCAGGTCATGATCCCGGGGTCCTGGGATCGAGCCCCGCATCGGGCTCCCTGCTCCGTGGGAAGCCTGCTTCTCCCTCTCCCACTCCCCCTGCTTGTGTTCCCTCTCTCACTGTCTCTCATACTCTGTCAAATAAATAAATAAAATCTTTAAAAAAAAATTTTACTGGAACACAACCATGGCCACTTGTATGTCTTTCAGTGACAGCTTTCTCACATTCGATGGCAGAGTTGAGTAGCTGTGACAGAGACTGTGAGGCCCACAAAGCCTAAAATATTTATTATCTGGAACTTTACAGAAGATATTGGCCAACCTCTGCATGGGAATATAAACCCCCACAAAGGAAAGTATTGTTTTGTTCCTTGCCTTACCCCTAGTGCCTAGAAGAATAGCTGGTACTTAACAGAGGCTCAATAAATATTTATGGAAGAGAGAATGAATGGACGGATCCTCTATGGTGCCCTCTTATCCTTCACTCTCTCTGATTCGATCTTCTGTTTTTATTATCCTTCCTCCATTTTCCTAAACTCTGTCCTCTGATTTGTTTCTTCCATTAACCTTTTTCTTCATATTCATCAAATTTCTATTTGGAGGAAAAGTCCTAAAAATAGCTCAACAAATTTTGGAAATAAAGGTTAGCTTAAAGGAATTTTTTCTTTGGCAACAGGATAAAAATGTGTCCACTGTTTCTTGGCCAACATCTGTAGCATTGTGTTTGTTTTGGAGCAGAAATTCTGTCAGCAAGAAATGATACTTCTTTTATTAGTTATTCTTCAGATAGTTACCTAGCATATTGCTCGATACTCTTGGTAATGTTTGTTAATAATGTTGGCATTCTTTACCATTTTATTTACTCCATATTCTATGGAGTTTAATTTCTGTAGAGTAATCCCCTTTCATATTTTGTTGATTGAGCATTTTACTTGTTATTATTAATGCGTATTATACTTACCCTATATTTGGTTTTTGTTCATGAGACTTTATCCAAAGAGTAAACACTCCTGACACATGCAGTTCTTTTGATTTCACAACTTATCCATGCTGGAGATACTTTCCATACTAACTTTGATTTCTTGCAGATGTGGAATAAAACCAGTACTAAATAAATGAACTTTCTATGTCTATACTTAAAACAAAAGAAAACAAACAAAAATCTCTGCTGGATCTGATTACTCCTAGGTGACTAAAAATTCTGTGAACCTGTGGAGACTGGAATGTACTGGCAGCAAAGAACACGGGTTATCTATTAGAATCTTGGATTGTGTTTTTGAAATAGGAAGTTAAAACGCTAATGTGTCCAAAAATAATCTCAAGTGTAAGTTATTATTGTTCCCTTAGAGGGAAATTCAATTGCATAACATCTTATAAAGGTAAAAACGTGACTTTCAATATGCAATTATTCATGTGTTATGAGTGGATGCATCAAATCTGATTCATCAGAGCTGTCCTGACATGATCATTTCTATGATTTGGTTCTAATACCCAAGAGACTGTCATGGTGCCTCAGTCAAGGTGATTTGCTGCTGTCTTATCATGAGTAGTGATGACAATACTTAATCCTTCTCTCTGTGTCAACCTCTGACCTCACTTATTTGAGTTTTGAGGTTTACTCCTGGCAGGTCTCCAGTTCACACTGAATCTCACCTGTAGCTCTGGTTTCTTGATTATAATTTATATGTGTCCTATAAATTGTGATAATGGCAGAGAAGGCTGATGAAAGATATTTATTTCTAAATATCTAAACAAATTTCTAAGTTTATTTCAAAATGTAACGTATGTAAATAATAAAATTTTATCTTTAATAATAATGGCAACTCTAAGTAACTTTGATGTATTCTAGTCTTCTAAATACTGAACTGGTAAGGATAACTAAGATACTGGAAAATAAAAAGATTAGCCTATCCCATGAAATGGAAAGGTTTTTTAAGCTTTGTTTTTCATTTTGTATTTGAGTTCCAATAGATTGTTTTTGCTTGTTTTTCATAAATCTTATTAGGTACTCAAAATAAACTAAATTTATAAAATCTACCAAGTTTATTGTGCATGCTTCTCATTTTCTGATGAAACAGAAACTACATAGTATATGACAGCATGGTAGAGTTGAATCAGTTCCTAGGAATCAGGAGACCCAATCCTGAAATAGCTTCTATTGTGTGACGTTAAACAGGTCACATAACTTCTCTGGTATTTGGTTGCCTCCTCAGCAATGGGAGAGGGTTGAATTAGGTAATTCTCTCTTCCCTTCCAGATTTATAGTCTCACACTCTATTTTAGGGCCTCTGGAAAGGCTTTGTTTGTGGAGAAAAAAATTTCACAAGCTGGAATCCAGGTATATATTCCTACTTCCATTTTTGATTACTTATTTTCAGTATACCCTTCAAAATGAGGATAAAATTTAATTTATTTAACTTATTCGTCTTTTGTTATTCCAAAGGCACACCCAACCATGGGGTCAGTGAGAAAATGTTCAAACATTTGTAAACAATCAACTTTCCTAATGTGAAGGCCAACTCCACGGAATCTTAAACAGGGCAAGGCAATGAAAACAGTCCCAAGTCCTGGCTTAGACTCCTTTAAGAGATCCAAAATCCAGATTTTTTGCTAACTGTATCTTCTTCATCTCTGTTTCTTCTACAACCAGGTTTTATTGCTTAAGGCAAGAAGAGTAGAAAAAGACAATGCACCTGCCTCACTGAAATATAAATCTTGGCATAATGATTGAAACACTGTGATGCTGTATTAGGCTGATCACCAAACAAGATGATCAGGCAACTTGACTCAATATTAGACTGCACAAACTGTGAAGGCAACCTGGTGTTCTGGGTGCCCAGACCGAGTCTGTTGCTAAAAATAAGTCACAATGTTGGTTGAAAAAAAAAGTCTTGATTGTATTCGCAAGCTGGAATACTCAGGCTGTGAAGTATATGAAGGTGGGAATGAATCCAGAGAGGTGAGCAAAGGACATCATTTGAGGGTTTTTCCTGACCTAGATGGACCTCAGGGTTAATTTTGGATTCTTTGCAGTTTTATGGGGATGGGAAACGAAGCCCAAGGCGTGCCTAACATGGGAAGCTTAGTAAGAGACACACCTCCTCCATAAAACTGGGACACCAAAGGACTGTACCCTAATTAAAAGGGTGAACCAGATATAAACTTGCATGTACCACGCACACTGCCCCTCCCTAGGTATTTCAAGAAAAACTGCGTGTATTAAGTCTTGATGATAAGCAGAATTTTTAAAAAAATCTCCCGAGAATTTCTAACCATAAACTAACCCTCATATGTGTTTGAAGACAGAACTCTCCCACTACCAGTGGTGGCCTGAAACATCTTAAGCCAAGTTAGTTTCAAGTGATCCAAGACTTGTAGTGCTAAGGCACATGGTAGAAACAAGTGGGAGTCTGTTTCAGACCTTAAAGAATCCCCACCGATAAAGGCCCAAGGGATAGGAGCACCTCATTAAAAAACAAAACACATAAGGAAGCAAAACACCAAGAGTGAGAGCTGACAGACAAGAGACCGAGAAGTCTGAAAACATTTTGCAGTTAATAGACACATGTGTTAAAAGAAGTATAAGTCATAGATTTTAAGAAATAAGAGAGTTTTTAAATTATAAGTAAAGAGCAAGCACAATTAAAACAGAATCAAATCAATCAGAGCCTACAGAAACAAAACATATGAGCGAAATGAAGAACTAAATGTATGGGTGCCATAGTGGCTTAGACACAGTTCATGAGAGAATTAATACTCTAGACCTGAAGATATTGCCAGTTCAGTGAGTAAATGAGAAGGAAGGTAAACAGGTGAAGATGAGAGAAATGGAGGCTGCATCCAAAGTAAATCTAGTCAGCATTCCAGAAGGAGAAGACAGAGAATGGGACAGCAGTATTTTCTGAAAAGATAATGACTGAGACCTGATAAGAGATATCAGGAAAACTAAAGAAGCCCAAACAGGAACTATAAAATGATATCTATACCTAAATGTATCACGGTGAAATGCTAAGATTAAATATAAGTCCTAATAGCAACTCTGGGGATGGGGGATGTTGGGGTGGGGGATGGGGCAGCAGAGAATCAGAAATAACAAATTGCAAAAGGCACAGAAAAATCAAGTGGTGAGCAGTTTGAGGCTTTTGAGCTTCCAGGGTAGAGTAATAATGTGAGTAATGGGAGAGGGGTGAGTAGGGAAGTTTAATAGGTTTCATACTTACCAAAGCTCTCCTATGAACCAGGAGGGCTTAGTTCTACCACTTAATTCTCTGACAATCTGATGATGTGGATATAGATATCCTCATCTTATAGTAAGAAAAATGAAACTGAAAGACATTAATTTTTCAAGATCATAAAGCTAGTAGGTGGTGGAAGTGAGTTTCACATCCTTGTCCATTTGCCTCCAGAGCTATATGTAGGGGGGTTTTGCTCTATGGTTATAAGGGACAAGAGAAAGAAGAGAGTAAGTGAAAAAGGAAATAGATTCATAGTGGTATCTTGTATGGGTCCCTGGCAGAGTCACTGGAATGAAGAGAATTCTGAAGTTAACCATGACCTGGGTGAGCTTTATAAAAGCACAGTGAGTGGATCCTTAGCACTAACAGATTTGGCATTCCAGTTTGCTGGCATTTGAGATTGGTCACAAAGGCCATGACATGTATTACTTTATAATGAGGATAGTCAATACTAAAGCCTGTGTTGTTCATTCATTCCTTAATTCAGCAAATATATATGGAGCTCCTAACTGGGTCAAGAACTGTGTGGGGTGCTGGGGATGCAACAGCCCCAGTCCCTGTTCTCACAGAACTTTATATTCTACTAGAGGACATACAAAATAGGAAATTTAAATGAAATATGTTGAGTGATAGGTAAAGTCAAGTTGGGGTGTTAAAGAAAACATATAGGAAGCAGATAGTTTTGTTGAGGGTGGGAGGTAGGAAAGAATGATCACAAAAGTTTGAAACCTGAAGGACAATGGTGGAAATTAAATGCCTTGGCACAACCTTGAGTTGTAAACAGTAAGGCTGCTTTGGAGGGATAAGATGGGAAGAAAATATAACCTGTTACCCAGCATTTTTATCTCACTGAGGGTTAAAGCTTAGTCCCCACTAGTCGTATCTGGTGGAAGGACTGGCCTGTCTGGAAGCTATTTCATGAGAGGCTGAGAAGCCTTTTGGTGCAGGATTGATTCTGAAGGAGTGGTCCTTCCTCCCTTTTGCCACATAGAAGCAGATGGTAGACAAATATCACCCGAAGATAAAGCTTTGGTAGTGATGGGCCAGTGGGTGTTTTGATTATGAAGTCACAGCTGTTATTTGTGTAATAGGAATTTTTGTTGGTGTTTATAATGCCCACTGTCTTCTAAGGAGGAGGGGTCCTGGTAATGGAAGAGAGGCACAGTGAGGCTTTGCCCTGCTGGGAGGGGCACCTTTGCTAGTCACTGGGCCAGAAAGGGGAACCGGGAGGGGAGAGATGGAAAAATGTCTATGAGGAGTTTCCAAGCGGTCAGCTGTAGAGTATGTGCTATTACTTCCCTCTTCCTTTTTTTCCCCATAAAATCTTGTATACAGTCCACAGTTCTCAGCAAAGTTTTTTTGTGAAGTGTATTCATTAATTTTTTTGGTGGCGGAGGAGGTTAGGGAACTCAAAGAGAAAGACATGGGAACAGATGAAATCTGGGTTACATTTACACACGATCTCCTAATTTAAGCCTCCAAGGATACTTTTTCAACCAGAGAGGAGAGGGTGAGGAAGAGAGAACGGGCCTGGAGTAAAAACTAAAAAGGCTGTTTTCTCTAAAAACTCAGAATGACGTTAGAGTAGTATGGCTTAACCCAGATGCCAGAGTGAGACACAAACTGCGGGGAGAATCTTCCTTCCCTCTTGGGCCAAAGTCTAGGCATGAGCTGTGGAGTAAGCTTGCAGCAGTCTATCTGAGCCAACCATCTCTGCTCCGGAGCAGCTGCACAAGGCCCGTCACATCAGTCCCGCCAATAACCCAGGCTTAGCGGGACATACACCGTGGGTGTGTGGACTTGATTTTAAAGATAGGAAATAGCAGGACAGAGAGCTTAAGAAACTTGCTCAAGGTCCCCAAGCAAGGAAGTGACAGAACTGGGATTTGAACCCAGGTCGTGTGACTGCAGAGTCATGCTCTTCACCACCATACTAGATTGTGATTGAGAGTGGGGGTTCTGGAAACCAGACACCTGGGTTGATCCCAGGCTCCACCACTATGGAAGTGAACTGGACAAGGCAAGGAGTATATCTGCTTTGCTCATCACTGTACACTCACAGCTGTTAAATGGTAGGTATCCAGTAAATATTTGTAGAATGAGTAAAATCAAATGTATCACTGTATACACAGGATGTCCTCTCTCATCCAGACTAGAATTCTCTACTCTGTCCAAGTCATTGGGACACACAAGCCAGAGCAGATGTATTTTAAATTGTTTTGTTTTGAAAGATCAAAGAGAACTCTAAGAGACTCAGGAATTAAAGGAATATGACATACCAACTTTTTAAAAAATTTTTTATTATGTTAATCACCATACATTACATCATTAGTTTTTAATGGAGTGTTCCATGATTCATTGTTTGTACATAATACCCAGTGCTCCCCGCAGAACTTGCCCTCTTTAATACCCATCACCAGGCTAACCCATCCCCCCAGCCCGCTCCCCTCTAGAACCTTCAGTTTGTTTTTCAGAGTCCATCATCTCTCATGGTTCATGACATACCAACTTTATAGATGAGCAACCAGACCCAGAGTGGTGGGGGACTCTCCCAAGGTCACACCATCAGTACGGGCCAGGATGGTGTTAGAATAGACAAAACCAACACATATCAGCGAGGGAGAAAGTCTGGCTATACTCAGCATGTCCAAAATGTAAAGATCACAAAATCAAGAAAAATAGTTACCGTAATCTCAGCATAAGGGTAAATTATGTGTCATTTAAATTACAGAATGAGAACAGTGATGGCCCCAGAGGCTTCTCGAAATTGGAATCCTGCTCAAGCCAGACCAGGAACTGGACTCAGATCCCCCACCCCCAACTACCAGTCCACGTCTTACTCTTTCTGCCTATTGCCACATGGAGCTATCGTGCCAGGGCCTGACTTGCTTCTGCAGGAAATGCTGAACAAGGGGTGGGGTAGAGAAAAGGAATCTGTATGACAGGTCGCAGCCCATTATTCCTTTCTCCGTGCTCAGGGAAGCCACGAGTGACACAAGGAAGAATGGGGCTCATTAGTCATGTTCTTTGCCTTTGTCATATGTCCCTCCTCTCTTTTTCTCTTGCTTCCAACTTCCCTCTTCCCCTCGCTTCCCAACCACAACAAACATGTTTTACTCTGAAACTGCAGTCACGTCACAGGACCCCTATAAACCCGATGATAACATTGAGTAAGCCAGAGTGATACATTTTCTGTTAGTAGCTCAGAACCATGGTTCTCTGCTGTTCTTGAGGTGTTTATCTTTTCTTTATTTTTTTAAAGATTTTATTTATTTACTTTTAAGAGCAATAGAGAGAGAGAGCATGAGTGGGAGAGAGGGGCAGAGGGACAGGGAGAAATAGATCCCCCGCGGAGCAGGGAGCCTGGTGTGGGGCTCGATCCCAGGACCCCGGGATCATGACCTCAGCCACTTAACCGACTGAGCCACCCAGGTGCCCTGTTATCTTTGTTTTCTTTCCTGGTTTTCTAATTCACTCCTCTTTTAGGGGTTGTGGGTGGTAGGAGAGGAGGGACATTGTAGGAGACTCAGTCAGAGGCCGGTCACCATCCTGATTCACTCCAAGGGATTCTGAAAAGTTATTTTGCTTTAACAACAGAGCTGACATTTCTGAGTCACTCCCACTCAACAGTCAGTCAGGGCCAGCCCAGAAGGAGACCTGTGCCACTACCCCCCAACTCTCCCCAAATCACTATTGACTTTTCTCTAAGCTTTG